GCATTATTCATATTCCCTGTCTGCCCTATCATCCCTCAATTTTCTGCACCTTTCTCTTAAGCAGTATTGTAATCTGAGCAGCTTTTAGAAATGCCTCTGGCCTTCCTTATTCAGCATTAAAGAAGCATTAGAGGATTCATTAGCCTTTCTGGTGACATCTGTGAGGCCATTTTTTATCAGCTGTCCTTTACATCTGGTTTGTTAGTTTAAAGCTGGACTCTATATACGATTGCTTTACATTTGTGGAATGTTTTTGCTCAGCTTTTCTGTTAGGTCAAAGTAGAGCCCTTTTCTCTTTTTAAGAAAAGCACAATTTGACTCGTTCTTGGACTAGTTTTAACAAGCAGCATTAAGCAATAGTCAGTGAGGATTCTGATTTCTTGTTATTATCTGGAATATTCTGTCAGATTCTGAACACCAATGTAAAGGCAATCTTGATTTGAAATTCTTACTGTTTTAATCAGTTGAACTTCATTCTGACCCCCATTTCTGTCTTTGCTGTAGTCTTTAACATGGATACGTGTGTGATACCGAAGTCTGCTTGTGTCAGATAAATGATTATTATCTTGCTTGTCCTGAAAACTTTGTATTTACCAATATTCTGCTTGAAAAGCAAAATATTCTGCTTGAAAAGCAGAATATCAACTCCTGTTGAATGTATCAAAAGTAATTATGGATAAGTACCCTGTCATGTCAGTTAATTGAATTCCATATCCTTGACAAGAAGGTTCATCAAAACTGGCCAAGAGAGCAGAAGGTGATGACAGGGGAATGAATCTCTCTCAACTAACAATGTTTTTGAAATGCCAGACTTAATCAGCTGGAGTTGGCATTATCCTTCACTCATCTTTCATGGCACAGATAAATTAGCTGCCTTGCTTATAAATGAATTGTTAAACAACTTTATTTTGAATTGCCACATTTAATTATGCAGATGATATAATTTGCTTTGATAGAATTAGTGCAGTGCTAGTTTAGTTTTCCCATTCAGATGAGCTGTGCAATATAGCTGTCTGAAGTAGCCATACATTCAAGGAATTTTATTGTTTTAAAAAATCCTTATTCTGCCTGCCAAGTGGAATTGAGTCCACAGCACCACTCTGATCTTTCTATTCAATAAATACAGTATCTCAAAATATTCAGTGTGCTAAATAGCAGTGTAGCAGTGGGATAGCAATTATAGCAATAAGATCTGTGTGTTCGATACTGTTTCTGACATCTGTAGTATATAAATTCCCAAAAGAGCTGGACTGATATGATGTGATCAGAATATATTCATATGATCATGTTTTGGTTTTTCAGATATGCCTCTAAAATAAACTTGATACCACTTAATAGGTTTTGTATTTTGTTACTAAAATTAATCTTAAAGATGATTAAAAATAAAAGAAAGCCTATATTATGATCAGGGGTGATGGACCAGTGTTTTGTGGCATCACGCTATTGCAGAGACTCCAAGGTAGTGCCGACTGAATGAACATGGAACTTGTTCAGTACTTGGTTGGGTTCATCAGCCCACTCTGTTGCTCAGAGGAAGCAAAATGCAGCACTGATAAAACTGTATCCCTTCTGGAATCTAATCTGGAACTTCCATATAGCTGTATGCTGTGCTCTGTAAACACAACACCTGACTAAATGCTACTTTAGGTATCTTCATGGTGAGGCTGAACTTAATAAGTATTTAAAAAATAAATAAATATATTTGCTTGGAATGTATAGCGTGTAGGTGAGATGGCTAAGAGGGAATATTACTGAAAGAAATGAGGTAAGCCCAGAGGTGGTGCTGGCAGCAGAAAGCAGGTGCAGTTTATGCTGTCAGAATGTGGGTAGGATGACAAAGCAAAGAGGTTTTGGAGTAAAGGTCTGAAACAAGCTTCCTGCTGAGTTGAAATTTGCAAGTTTTTGAAAACAGCTTGATGAACTGTGAATGATTATATTCATATGGCATGTGGTAGCAGGAACACACCTGACATTAACAGGTCCTTCCACTCCTGTTTCATTTACAGAGATAAGATGGGAATTATTTACAAAATAAGGCCCTCTGCTATGTGTAAGTCCATAACTAAACATCAAATAATGAATATCAGGAGCACAAACTTTCTTGGTTTTAGAAATCACTTTATCAGTTCATTTTCATTTCCCCAACACTGGACATGTTAAAGATTCAGCTGGATGGGTTACTGGGCCATCTTGTCTAGATTGTGCTTTTGCCAAGAAAGGTTGGACCAGGTGCTCCTTGATGTCCCTTCCAAATTGGTATTCTATGCATCTATGATTTAACCATTAAAAGCTATTTTAGGGTAGATAAAAATCAAAATTTATATTTAAAAGTTGTAGAAACCTATTGAATTAATGTTGCTTACAGATAAGAATCTGAATTCTCTTGTGCATAACTTGGCAGTTTACTTGCTTTGCTTTTGAAGATTTAAGTGGTGCATAGGCTTTTTGTCTGCCCAGATATCAGGCTTGATCCAATAGGGATTATACAAACAAGCAAAAAGCATTTGTTTTTTTTTTTGGGGGGGGCGGTAAGATTTTGATGTAAATTATTTTAGAAGGAAATAAACCTTCCTCTGAGTTATGTGCAGCTAAACATAATGTCATTATGCCAGTTCAGGGGAACTAGAAAGTAAATTTGACTGAGCAAGGCTGAAACAGTCCAGACCTCTTTACAGCTGAGAGTGAAATGTAGGATTTAAGCAACCAAGCTGGTAATGTAATTTTTATCTAAAAATAATTAGATTTCCACCTGTCTCCAGTCCTAAATAATACGTGTAAAAGCTTTTCAAGGAATTTGTTTTAATTTTTGGCTTGATTTCAGCCCTCTGAAGTAATGTCTAGCTGACTTCCTACCTTAATAGCTGCTGAAAGTTTCTTGAACTTGTGCAGACCTACTGTATGGTTACTGGGCCAGCTTAGTCATTCTTCTAATCCCTTCAAAGGGTATAATGAATACTTGTGGCAAGGCAATACAAAACTTGTGTTTACAGCATGGGGATGACCTGGCCACTTAAGATCGAGATGAACCCTTGTAGTACACAGATCCTGAAAGAAGCAATGGTAAGAGTCCTGCAGCTGTGAGGGGGAAAAAAAAATGGAAGCTAGGCACAAAGGATGCATTTGGGAATCCACACTTTACTCTAGGGCTGGATTTCTTCTTCAGTTCTTCACCTGTGGTTTAGTCTGGAGGGACACTTTTTTACACAGCAGCAGCATGTAGCCCAGCAATGTGGCTTGTGCTGATGTCTACATCTTTCCTCATTAAGTAGCTTAATTTATGCCTAATCACTTAAAAGTAATCATGGAGGCTGAGATGATTACATACCCAACCATACATATGCCATCTGTTTCTAATATGTATGTAAGAAAAATTCATATTCCTTTATAGTACATGCAATTGAAATGTTGCTTTTTATAGAAGAAACAATATTAAATACAATTTCTGTCACTGATATTTGTTCTTTTTCCCAACATTAGACTGCATGTAGACACACTAAAGTTCCTTCTCTGTCTGGTTGACGAGGCATTGCAATACCATTTAAACATGAGGATTGTGCCCAAAAATGCTATCGATTTACCTTCTTGTGTTTGCTTAGTTTTCATACCTCTGAGTTTCATTTCATGGAACTGCTAATAAAGAATTACTAATATTTTTGCTGTTGTGATATTAATCAAGAGGTAAAAAGTTTTTGAATTCCAAAAGCTGTAAGAATGGAAAAGCACTGTTCTTAAGTCTCAGATGATATCCCATAAAAAAAAAAAATGCACATAGAGGTGACTATGATCTATGCATGAAATACAATGGGTAGAACCCAGGATAAAAGTGTCAGCAGGTGCTTGCTCTTTTTATTTATTTTTACTTGTACTATTAATTTTCAAACTGACACCACAAAAATGTTTGTGAAAGGTGAGCTAGAAATAATTTTCATTACGGACTCTACATGTGACTGAATTTGATTTACTAGTAAAAAAACCTGGGATGAGAGCCTTTATGTCTTTTTATTCTTTGTACTTTGTATGATTGCTTAACAGTCATTGTTCCCTTGTATCTGGTGTGTGATCTTGTGGAATCCTTAGGTTTATAGTATTTTGTCTCCATTTGGTAGTGGTGCTTATAACAGAGTAGGGTTGCATACTAAAAGATAATGTCCTTACCAGCTAAAGGAAGGTCAAAGCCTCAAGAATTATTTGTATGGAATGTTCTTCCCACAATACTGTACCTCATGGGTGATCCTGAATCCCAAAGCCCTTGATTTAAATTTGGATTCCATACAGCTATGCTGCCAGTAGACTGGGAGGCAGATTGAAATGGTTTGCTTTTAACACCATCAAAATGTATTTTTAGTAGAAGTATTGAGCAACTGAGACTACAATTTGTATCAACAATCTGATAAGCAAAATGTCACATACTAAATGTGGTTTATATCTCTCCTGCTGTTTGAGAATGTGATCAGCTCTGTAGAGATGTGTCTGCACTTTGGTCTTCTCAGGCTCATCAGTTTAACATTTTTCAGCTCTTCTAGAAGATCAGATTGCCTTGGAAACCTTTTAAAACACACTTTAATTTCTGTGCCATTCTGTCAGTCCACTCAACATAGGTTAGCTTTGTTCTCTTCATCACTCAGCATAATTTAAATGCACTTCACTCCATTTTGACAGGAATCATCATGGTTTGATTGCATGAAATAAAAACAACATTCTTTCCCATCAGACATTCAAAACCCAAATGAAATTTAAATGTTGAAAGCTGCTTCCTCAAACAGTGACAAAAAGTAGTCATGAGTAAATGAGAGCTGAAACACTTCAGTCACACTTAGTTCCACAAATAGGTTTCACTTTTGGTCAGGCTTCCTGGATTTTGTGAGCTTGCATGTGTTCAACAGTGCGCTATGAACAGCAGCAACAGTTACTTTAATTTTTTAATCATGTGGCAAAGCACTAAAATATCTGCAATGTATTTCATGGACAAAGATTCCAAACTGTCTAACTTATTTCAACAGGCAAGCAGTCCTACAACAGGAACAGCTCCCAGGAGTCAGTCACGGTTGTCTGTCTGCCCTTCCACTCAGGACATTTGTAGGTATGTGTTGAGAAAAATATACTCTAATCTGGTTGATACTTTTTAGTTGTTTTTATTACATTATACGTAGCTCTTGCTTCTGCTTAATACTATTCATAATTTACATAGACTTTAGTTTTCTTTTGATCTCTTTTTGGTTTGGTTGTATTTTTGCTTTTCAGTCTCATGTTTTTCTATTAAAATTCATGTTTTCATTTTCATTCTTTTTTTTTTTTTTTGTGATTTCTCTCCTTCCACCCACCCTTACCATTTCCATCCCTTTCCTTTGCTTACTGCTTTGTCTAGATCTACTACCTTGCATGATTTGTCAGAAGATGAGCTTGAACATGCAACCCCTGTTATGGTGTTGACCCCTTCCAATAGGGAGTCTGGTAAGAAACAAGTAAAACGAAGGTTTAGGCGGAAAAGAGAGACTGGAGACACTGGTGAGCATGCAGAAAAGCAAGGAAAAGGGAAAGACTGTAAATTGCATCCTGAGCCTGCAAGGTCCAGTTGGAATGCATCTGATTCATCATCATCTTCAGATGAGAGTCAGTGGGCTCAGGCTAGGAGGAGAGCAAGAGAAAAGGCCAGAATACCCAGGAGAGGGAGAAGGAACACTAGATCATGCATTAACCAGGATGGGTCCTCAAACAATAATGCTGTTGAACTTGTCACTTTGGGGACAGTGGGGAAAAACAAGCAAGAGGTATCTGACCCTGAGAATCCTACTTTAAATCACCGCCGAAGAAGGGTTCCAAGGCTAAAGGAATCACAGTCTTCAGTGTCATCTCAGGAAGCAAGGATTTCCTCAAGAAAATGTGGAAAAAGCAAAGGAAAAGGCTACTATGGAGATCGGCACCCTGCATCTTTCCTTAGACACAGTAAAGATTTGAAGGACTGCTTTGCAGAGGGAGGCTCTGGGAGTGATGCTCTGGCAGTCCCCAATAATGGAGCACCTGCTGGGGCAGGGCCCAGTGTGACTGATGATGTTCAGAAGCCTTCAGTGTTGTATGATGACTTATCTGATGATTTAGAAGTATGCAGGTTAGTCCCTAATAAGAAAGATTTAAAATTCTTAACAGGAGTTTCACATTGCCGTAGGTTGAGTGCCCTTCTTTTGACTGCTTTCTGTCACTGTTTCTCAGTAATAAACTGCTAAGCAGACCATAAGAAATAACACAAAAGCCTTTGCTACAGGGAAGTTAGCATCTCTGAGGCTGGAGATATACTTCCCTAATTTAAAAGCAGTAATCCTACAAGGGAACTAAATTTTTTTTTGCTCCATTTTTCTTCATGAAGACAGACACTCTGTGTCCTGTGGCAGCATATTACTGCGTTCTAAATCTCCAGCCAGAGGCAAAGAATGAGGCAGAGTTCCAGATAGCTCAATGCAATGGGATATGGAGTTTTTCCTCCTTAGGTGATCAGTTCAAATCCAGCTTTGGTCCCTCATTGTTATTTTTCATTGACTTACATGAAATAAATTTATGGTCTTGATTCAGTGTCCTCTAGAACTGCCATTATCGCAAGGTGACGGTCGGTGCCTACACGCTTTCCAGTCAGGCATAAGTTGTACAAGACTGCACTGCTGAGCAGCTCTGCACTGTGAACATGTAGGGGCTCTTATTTTGGTACCCATGATAAGAATCGGAATGGTACAAAGGATGAGTGGGTAGAATAAGCATTAAAATAGAGTTTGGGATAGAAAAAGCAACACCAGCAGCTCTCTGTTTCAGAAGTTCAGGCTTCTGACAATCTGATACCCCTGGTGTGATGCATGCAATCAAAAGGTGAGCATTTTCTTTTGGAAATGAGAGCAAGCTGGCTTCTGAGCAAAAGTCCAAATTTAGACAGCTGGGTGTACATGAGTTACTTAACGTAGTGGTAAATGAAAATGTGCCATCCCGTAAGTTTAACAGAACTGAAACAAGTATTTCTTTCCTTTTTTTTTTTTCCTTTTATTTTTTCTCCCCAGACTTGTGACCCAGCATCGACTTTTATCTACAAAGTATAAAAAGAGGATCAGGCTTAGTTTCTTTATTATGGTAACCCAACATTTCTCACTTACCTTTGCTGAGAAAAATTTGCATGGAAATGTAAACACAGCAAAATGAGGAAGTTTGTGATGCCACATCTTGCAGTTTGACTGTATACTTCAACTTAGTAACACACTACAAATATCCTAGTTTTAAAATGGAAAAAGATGACATGTAGGCATGGTTCCTTTCACAGCAGGACACATAGCCATTGCTAATACAGCTACTGCTATGCACTCCTTGTTGCACTTGTCAAGCAATAAGGGATATTTCAGTTGTCTGACCATTGTCAGTCATGATCATTTAAGACTATTCAGAGTAAAACCCTGCTGTATTTGTACATTAGTTTGTATATCAGGACCATACTGCTGGCTTGGGACCTCTTCATCTTACACAAATGCAGAGAAACAGCAGCAATGGTAATAATATTACACATTTTTTAAGCACTTCATATATGTCTACGTGGTATGATGCAGAGATGTGCTCAGATGATAACTACTTCAACAACTTCAGAGTTAAGACTACGAGCTACCCAAAACATGAAATAAATTATTTCAGCATGGGCTTTTATATAGGCTTAACTCTACTGTGTTAATAAAAAAGAGAAAATAAAGTCAAAGTTTTGTAATTGTTTCAGGTAGATTAATCCTAATGGTTCCCCAAGTCCCCAGACTTAGACTTTGCTGTCAGATGGAAAGTGGACTCTAGTATTTTATATCATCTCAACCCATTTGATTTTATTATGGTTATTTAGGCTTTTTTTGTAAGACTTGAAGCTTAGTTCAAGAGTGGATTTTTTGGATGTGCATGCAAACTTTTCTGGTAGGCTTTTGTCCGGAAGAGGAAGGTTGAAACCTTTTGATAGGTATGTGTTCCTAGGCTTACTGTCAGTGGAGATGCTCCTTGAACAACCAGAGTTAAACTCAACAGAGTTGATAACCTGGCCTGTTGTGCAAAATTTGTCAAGAAAACCATAACCCATTTTTCTCTGTGTCAGGGATAATGCTTTTTTTGTTGTTGTTGTCATTAGTAGGTATATCACGGTGATGATAATGCAGCTATGAAAAAATTTTAAAAATTGAAAGCATGTTAATTTTTTATCACTGGTAAGTTGTCTTAATCAGTTTGCAGACAGCAGAAGACAAAGGAAGACATGTTTTTACTACTGATTCATTATAGAATCATAGAATAGTTAGGGTTGGAAAGGACCATAAGATCATCTAGGTCCAACCCCCCGCCATGGGCAGGGACACCTCACACTAAACCATGTCACCCAAGGCTCTGTCCATCATCAAATTGATATCTCTCCAATTTAGAGACAAGGATGTCGTGTGGGACAGTGTCGAACGCTTTGCACAAGTCCAGGTAGATGACATCAACTGCTCTACCCCTGTCCATCAGTTCCGTAGCCCCATCATAGAAGGCCATCAAATGGGTCAGGCAGGATTTGGCCTTAGTGAAGCCATGCTGCCTGTCACCAAGCACCTTGTTGTTTTTCATGTGCCTTAGCATGCCTTCCAAGAGAAGCTGATCCAAGATCTTGCCAAGCACGGAGGTGAGACTGACTGGTCATCCATTTTCCCCTTCTTGAAAATATTTCCCTTTTTCCAGTCATCGGGAACTTCACCTGACTGCCATGATTTTTCAAATATGATGGACAGTGTCTTATCAACTTCTTTTGCCAGTTCCTTCAGGACCCACAGTGGGATTTCATCAGGTCCCATGGACTTGTGTACATTCAGGTTCTTAAGATGGTCTCAAACCAGATCGTCTCCTACAGTGGGCCTAGGGTCTTCATTCTCACAGTCCCTGCATCTGCCTTCCAAGACTTGGGTGGTGTGGTCAGAGCCTTTGCCAGTGAAGACCAAGGCAAAGAAGTCATTCAGAACCTCAGCCTTCTCCAAATCCTGTGTAGCCAGTTCTCCTGATAGCTTCCGGAGGGGGCCCATGTTGTTCCTAGCCTGTCTACATACCTATAGATTATAGATTGCAGGGTCTGTTTTTCAGGATGGGTCCATGCACTTAATCGGCTCATTATCTGTGGTATGGTTTCCTTCAGATTCACAGTCTTGCATCTGAAGCAAAAGAATAATTACATTTCAGTGCAGATGTGCACATACGCAGTAACCATTTTTCTGCATGAGAAATAAAAAAAGGAGATTTTTGTTATGTTTAGTTTAAGACTGGTTTAACAGAGCTGGTTGCGATGTAGAAAAATAGTTTTCTAGAGATGTGTTTCTCCAAGCTTTTTATCCTAGATATTCATATCTTCTAGTTGTTGTGACCAAGCTGGCTGAGACAAATGGCTCTTGCCCAGATGGGATTGTGTGGAAGTAGCAGGGGAACAGGGATCTTAAACATCTCCCACTGCCAGTTATTTTGTTTCAAAGTGTTTGGGTAGGCAATTTTTTTCCATTACTTCCTCATGAATTGCTGGCAGTGAAACGCATTTATATGCACATGTAAGGGAATAAGCTGTTTCCTCAATGTGCATTTAGCGGAATGCGTTGGAATGTGACAAGGCACACCCAATTCTAGCACAAGCACATATCAGATGAAGTATAGTACCATGGCACAATATATACTTCAGCTAGTTTTAGGCCTCTTGGTCACTTCAAGTGAGAAATTTCCCCTTCTAGTGTCATTATTTCTCTGTTTCCAAAATGTTGAAACAATGACATCAATGATGACCTTTACAATCACTTCCTTGAACATACTCCTTCCTTCTGTAGTCCATTAGAAGGCAAGCTTTCTGCTTCTGGGATTAGGGATGCATACATAAATTCTGACCATGCTAATTTGTTGGGATAGGCTTCCTAAATCATACAGTTGGATCACCCTCTTCCTAAGTTGCCCTTTGTCTGAGACTTTCTTTTTGTGTACTTTATTCTGGAATTTGCCACGTGGCTTGAGACACAACCTCAGAAATAGCTTTCTTTGGTCTGCATGAGGGTAATCTCCCTGAAGGGAAAATCTGTGTGTGGAACATGATAAAGTGAGTGGAATATGAAGATTTAGTTCCATGGATTTTCATGTGGGAATTACTAAGGAAAGAAAATTGCTTAGTGATATTACCATTAGTGTATCATAAGTGCTTTGTGTATTGACTCTGAATTAATCTTATGGTCTTTTTATTATTTATGATGGGAGAACAGAAATATATTTTCTCTTTGACTACTTATTCTTTTGGTGTGAAATATTTCTGTAGTAGATGCAGTCATTTCAGCAACAACACCAAACTGTAACTAGCTGAAAGAAACCACACACACTTAAATAAAGTGGAGTTGCTCACTATTAAAAAGATGCTTAGAAGAAGAATCATTTTGATTTTGTTTAATCACAGAATCATAGAATACCAGGTTGGAAGGCAATGGTCCAGCCTTTCTAGGCAAAGCACGACCTAGACTAGATGTCCCAGCACCCTGTCCAGCCAGATCTTAAAAGTGTCTAGTATTGGGGAATCCACCACATCTTTTCCATGTGACTCCTGGTAAAACAGGGAGTTTCCATCTTCTTTGTAGCTACCCTTTAAATACTGAAACATGGTGATAAGGTCTCCCCTGAGCCTTCTTTTCTCAAGGCTGAACAAGCCCAGTTCTCTCAGCATCTCCTCATACAGCATCTTCCCTAGTACTTTGATCACCTCTGTGGCCCTTCTCTGGACCCTCTCCGACCTGTTTACATCATCTTTATAAATCGGGACCAAAACTGAACGCAGTATTCCTGATGTGGCCTGACAAGTGCTGAGTAGAGTAGGTTAATGACTTATCTCTGCTGACATTGCCCTTATGGATGTAACCCAGCATCCTGTTGGCTTTCTTTGCCACAGCTGCATGCACACTGTTCACTCATGTTGATTTTGTTGTCAACCAGAATCCTCAGGTCTCTTTCCACAGAGCTGCTCCCCAGGCAATTAGATCCCAGACTGTGCTGTACTATTGAACTGTATTTTTGCAGGTGCCAGACCTTACACTTGTTCTTGTTGAACTTCATCAGGTTCTTGTTAGC